CAAATACTTTATGGGCGTAAAGCCTCATAGTCCTTAGTAATTGGTTTTTTCTTCACCAAGTTCTCATTCTACTACTTCTAGGTGATCTACAATTCGAAATAGATGTAACTAACACCATTTCTCATCACCCAAATATTTACAACAATCATATGTCAACAATATAAAACCCTAGCATAGCTCTTATGGTTCTCTTTATCAAGCCCATCACTTATTCTCCCAAAAACTCGTCAATTCATAGTTATAATTGATTAGGGAGTAAAAACATTAACTTTTGACATTCAATCCTCTTGATTTTGAGTTCTAGGGTTTCGTTTCTCAACAATGGTGTCTCGTTCGAATATCTAATGATTGGAAGGATTTACCCATGTTAATAAGGTGTTGGAGAATTTAAATTGGCTTACAATCAAAATTAGAACTTACATTGGATGATGGAGGGACCTTGGGGAAGTTGTGTCCTTGAGAGCTCCCCTTTCTAGAGTATGTTTTCGTGTTTGGGGTGGGGGAACGAGGGAGGGCTTTTAAATAAGTGAACAAGTCCCAAAATTGAGGAGAAAAATAAAAATAGCTCGGATAAACAACGTCGGCACGAGGCACCGTCTAGGGCGCCAAACTTACTGTGCAAGGCACCATAAGAGGTGGCCAAACTACAGTACCATGCACTGTTTGGGGCGCTAAAGTTACAGTGCTTTGCATTGTCAGGGGCGCTGAGGTTACAGTGCCTTGCACTGTCTGGGGCACTGAGGTAACAGTGCCTTGCACTGTCAGGGGCGCTGACGTTATAGTGTTTTGCACTGTCAGGGGCGCTGATGTTAATGCCCTGGACAATGCCTTGGACTGTCTACGGCCGTGAGTTTTTATAGCCTTCCACTGTCTGACTATAAAACGAACCTCCAATAAACTTAATCGATTTTATTAAATTTTATGCACCTCACTCTCGGTCTTGATTCTAAAACAATTGTTTCCACCCATACTCGTCACGGTAAGACTTCACATGTCTAAAAGGTCACATTAATACTTATTTAATGCATCCACAATTAATCCAGATTTATGGAGTGTTACATGCCCTTTCGGTCCCCTCAGCAACTCATTTGTCTTTTTCTTGCCTCAACGACCCCTCGTCTTGCTTGTGCTTTTGAGGAGGGAGAGCAGTAGTAGAGGACTTCCCTGCACCTTTTCTTTTGCTAGCTCCATCATGAGCCATTGCAACCTACAAAACCATCTACTTGAATGTGAGAAATAATCAAGGAATCCGTCTAAGGTTAAAGTGAAAGCCTAAGATGACCCCACACTTAGAACCGAAGGTTATATGCAACATACTCACAATAGTTGTCCAAGAAACACACAAATGTTGCACAGGTTGCACAAGTTCTCATGGAAATGGTATAAGAAGTCATAGGAATCCACTGAAGGCACACCGCTGAAATAAAGGGGATACAACTTTGTGAACCTGTTAACCTCTTTAGCTCATTAGCTGATATCGTGGGCATATCTCGAGCGGCGTGGCAACACTGGGCTAAACCACCCCAATGTGTAGAACTCATGCGTTCTGATAACCATGGGTCATCTGCTCTGCGGTATGAGTAGTAGGAGTTTCACTCCTTCACCGACCTGAGAAGTGGTTGGTGCCATCGGAAACACACCGTCCTAAGTCATACTCTCCAAAAAGCCCACCATACGACAAAGGAATACTGTAGTACTGGAGTAGCAATAAACCCCTTTGGGAAGTGAGCTGGCTATACTAGCTTGACGTGAAGTGGAATCTCATCATCTGGAGCTAACTGAGGCTCGACTATGGGTGACGCGGTGTGTGCTCTAGGCTGAGCTCTGCCTCTGCCTCTAGCCTTGCCCCTACCCCTGGTAGTGGCTGCAATCCGGGGCTTCGGCTCCTAATCAGCTATGGATGAAGCACATTTCCACACCATCTGTAAAAGAATAAGAGAAAAAGCATGATAGAGAAAAAAAAGTGAAGTTTCCTAAAGCCTTATAGCCTCTAAATAGTAATAGGAATATGAGATAGATGACTCCAAGGCCTACGAACAATAGTGCAACACTACCCGGGTCTTCTCAACCAATAAGCTAATCCGTCCTTTGGGTACCACCGAGACCAAAACAGAAATCTGCACAAGAAGTGAAGAAGTGTAGTATAAGTACAACCGACCTAATGGACTCCGCAAGTGTCGAGCCTAACTACGACGAGGTAGTGACGAGTCTAATACAAGACACCTACATATAAGCATGTGCACTTAAGTAATGAGAAAATAATAAGAGATATAACAACATGATAATCAGTAAAATAACAAGTAAGATGACAAGAAATATCAGGAGAGAGAGATAACAAGTATAAAATCAAGAAGATATAGAACGAGAAAAATAACGAAAGAAACGACTAAAGTAAACCATAGTTTATGCTTCCACGAGCAACTCCAAACAAGACTTTCAAAAATAACCATGAAACAACATAGCCAAATCCCCAGCCATTATAGAAAAATAAGGACCAAGAGATATCAACAAATGGAATGGCACCACCCTTCGTACTTTTACTCTCAACTTCACAAGTATAACATAATAACAAGTATGAAAATACTCTTCGTGCATATTCACTCTTTCTTTCGAGCACGGTAACACCCTTCATGCAATGATTATATATATATATATATATATATATAAAGAGAAAGCACGGAAAAACCCTTCTTGCACAATCACTCTTTTTCATAAATACGAAAACACCCTTAGTGCAGAATCACTCTTCCTCACAAGCACAGAAACACCCTTCATGCAAATATCTCTTCCTCACTAAGCATAAACAAGTAAAGCAATACCAAGCAAGGTAGGAAGCACTAACGATATCAAGAAGAGTGATTAAACATAGCTTTCCACATAGGGAATAATCATCACTTTGCCCCAATAGCCAAATCAACAATTCAATAGTATTAATAACCAATGTCACAACTAGCTTAACATGGCTATTAATACGAACGGAAATAGTCAAAGAGTCTTACAATCTAGATGAAGCATGAGAAACATAATACATGAAGCAACAAAATATAAATAACTAGTTCTACCCACTTGCTCAACATATAGCCAATGCATATACACTCGTCACCTTGTATAGATGTCGACCCCAACACGTATAACACATAGAAATTAGGCACAGTTACATCCTGATTCCCTCAAATCAAGGTTAACAAAGACACTTACTTCTTTTCAGCACAAATCAACCCTCTAATACCGCATTTTCTTTAGCACAAGCAATCTAGCCAACTAATGTTCATATAAGTTAAAACAAGCTTTAAAAACAACCCTAGTATAAAAAAAAAGTTCGATCTTTAACACATTTAGAAAAGTCAACAAATAGTCAACCTAGACCCGCAGAGTCAAAATCCGAAATTAGGACCAAATCCGGTTTACCCATTCTCCCCCGAGTCCAAATATGTGATTTGTTTCGAGACTTGACCTCAAATCGAGGTCTGAATTTCTAAAATACGAAATTCTAAATTTCTACCCAAAACCCCTATTTATACTCTATGAAAACTTAGAATTAAGCATGAAAATCAATTAAAAAAAAGGAATTTGAACAATAACAAGTTAAAGTTACTAACCTATGAAGTTAAAAAGAAACTGTTCTACAAAATTGCCTCTAAGGGGGGGTCTAAGTCTCAAAGATGAAATAAAATAAGCTGAATTCCTAAATCCTTGTCTTTTACCCAACTGCAAATATTACAATTACGAACTACTGTTCACAATTGCGGTATTCGCAAAAGTGAACAGCTGATCGCAAATGCGATCAGTCCCTGAGCCTCAGATCCTGCAATTACAACAGAGGCATCGCAATTGCGGAAGTCGCAAATTTAACAGAAGCATCACAAAGGTGAAGGATCGACCCCTCACAAAAGCAACCTAAGCTTCGCATTTGCGAAGCTGACCCAACTCCCTTCTAGCATCACAAATAAAAGCTAGCACTCGCAAATGAAAGGCTCGCATTTGCTAACAGACCGTCGCAATTGCGATGTTTGCAGCACCAACAAACTTAAGTCTTAGGAATCAATCTAAAACTCACCCGATTCCCCCGAGCCCCTCACTCCCCAATCCAAACATCTACACAATTACAATAACATCATATGAACTCACTCGTAAGCTCAAATCATGAAAATAACATCTACAATCAAGAATCAAGCATCACAACTCAAAGATTTCAAAGTTCATAAGTTCAAATTTCAACTTATTGCATTAAGCGCCAAAACAGTCTCTGATCACCCGAATTCCAACCAAACATGCGTACAAGTCCAAATTTATCATACGGACCTACATAAATCGTTAAAATACCGATCCGACATCGTTTGCCAACAATGTTGACCTTGATCAAATCTAAACTTCAAGTTCAAAATCAAGTTTTCTTTGAAAAATTACATTTTAACTTTTCGAAAATCAAAACAACCTATGCACATAAGTTAAAAATCATCAAATAGCGCTATAAAAAGTCTCAAATCATTAGATGGGGAGTTAGAACTCAGAACGACCTCGGGTCGTTCCGGTCTTTCCTAAAGCTACATTCAAAGAATAATGTTCTGAGAAATTGCTTGCCGGTACTCCTACTCGATTGCAGCATCTTTATGAAGAAAAGTTTCAATACTCAGAACAGGCAAATTAAAGCACAATATCATTGGTTCTTTTGATCAACATCTTATATACTCTATCTATTTTAATTTACTTGAACCTATTTTCTTTTCGGTCCGTGTCAAAAAAATGACCCCTTTGCTTATATGGAAATAATTACCTTTATTCAATGATTTATAACCACACAAAATCTATGTGTTTCATTTTACTCCATAAATTCAAAAATCTTTTTCTTTTCTTAAACTTTGTGCCCAGTCAAATGGATTCATGTAAACTGAGACAGGGAGCAATTTTTTGGAGCGTGTTCACGCAATCAAATCATTAAACTGATCATAAGTTTATAATATAGATCAAACTTCTTTAAGGTTTTTTTTTTAGTGTAGGTATAGGAAATGATTATGTTTCATTTTATGCTTGAACACCAATCTTCTTCATACATAGGTATACAGCTCGAAAATTTTTTGAAGTCACTTGCAAAAAGAAATTCTTGGAAGCATCGATCCTTGTCTTCTACATCCAAGTAAAATTGGACAATAAACAAAATTATAAAAATAAAAAAAATAAAATAAAGAGAGGTACTTCCTGTAAGAGGAGCTGTTTCTCATATGTATTTCCGAGTTGTATATGTAGTTCATGTACTAATATCCTGTATGACTACTGATTTATTTAGTCTAGATGGCCAGAATTCCAGTAGAAAATATTTGGTCATTAGCATAAGGTGAGCTTGCAATATCAGCAGATCTTGAAATTTCTGAGCTACACTTCTCCTTGTGCTCATCCATTACTATCTGACTGTACCGACACTCTGTGCTACAGAATGCTTTCTCTCCCCTGCAATTCATTAACAAGAAAAGTGAAAACATCATCAGCACAAGTCTTCTTAATTAACTCAGCCTAAAATTGTTTTAAAGAGTATAAGAGAGAAGAAAAATAGGTTGAAACTTAAGTTATACCTGTACATGTATATGTCTTTGCCATGGAGTTTTTTATTGCACAAATGACATGAACTGAGAAAATCTGAATCTGGGTATCTCGGAAAATCTCCAAATTTAACTGGAGATATGTCGAAAACACTTGAACGATTAAGTTTTGTACCCTGTAACCTCCTGTTTTCTTGTTCAGTTCCATTGCAATATACTTTAGTATATGACTTGTTATCTGGTCCACGGCAAGTAACTACTGTGTAATCTTCTTCAAAATTGTCCAACTCTGTTTCATCATATTCTGCTCTAAATCTAGCAGAATTTTTGGCTGAATTAACTGGAATTGATATGGACTTATTTGAACTTCTGTTGTAAACAGCTCTGTTGGACTGAATTTTACCATCAAGAGCAGCTACAATAGCTAATCCCACCCCGCTAAAATCATAGCCTTTTAGACCTCTTGGTGATTGAATCTTGAAATCTAGAGGACTTCTTGGGCTGCTGGCACCATCCATAGTCCCCGTCCGGCTGCCGGAAACCGATGAGCCGGTGAGGTTTCCGATCACCGGCGTGGGTCTTTTGCCGATCATGATTTATGATTATTCAGTTGTTCTCTGTTTCAAGAATTGCCCCACTGGGATTTGCTGAAATGGTTTATAAAATGGCTTTATAATGCATTCGATGGAGCAGGTAGACTCAGCCCATGGTTTAGTTTAAAAATCATACAGCGATGATTTCATTATTTTTTAAATAGAAAAGATAATCGGAGATTATAGTATCAAAAGTATTTTATTCACCGGTACCATTATCTAATCACTTTATTATTCTATTTTCCTACTCCATTTTATATGTCATTATCTATTTATGAATAGTCTAACTTTTTTACCTATCACAATTTTGATAAATCTTTTTAAGTGCTTTAAATTATTAAAAATTATAAAATCTTTGTAACGTTATAGTATATGATAATTGTTACTAATCTGTGTTTAAAAAATAATTTCTGCAAAATAAACATTAACAGAAATAGAAGAATAAAAAGTTTCGAGCCCGAACAGAAAACTATGTTACCTTAATAAACTTAATCCCTCACGGTTGCCCAAGGTTATTGGATTAATTCCTCTCAGGATAGAACGGAATAACTATTCTGTAATACCGGCAATGAAAATTACATGTAACGACCCGGCTGGTCGTTTTGAGAGAAATAGCCATGATCCCCTATTTACTGCTTCCCCCGTATCTTTTTTCTGCTTATGTGACTTGCCGGGAGGTTTAGTTTTTGGTTTCGGAGTGTTTTGGGATACTTTGTCCCTAAAACGGAAGCTTAAGTCATAGGATTTTTTACCATAGTCGGAACTGTGTGAAGACGACTCCGGAATGGAGTTCCGTTAGCTCTATTGGGTGATATTGGACTTGGCCGTGTGTCTGGACTATGAATTTGAGGTATGTAGCTGATTTAGGCTTGAAATGGTGAAAGTCGAATTTTGGAGATTTTGACCGGAAGTGGACTTTTTGATATCGGGGTCGGATTCTCATTTTGGAAGTTGGATTAAGTCCGTAAGGTTGAATATGGCTTGTGTGCATATTTTGGAGTCAATCGGACGTGATTTGATAAGTTTCGGCATCGGTTGAAGAAATTTGAAGTTTCAAGTTCACTAAGTTTGGATTGGAGGGTGATTCATATTTTTGTTGTCGTTTGAGGTATTTTGAGGGCTCAAATAAGTTTGTAGGGTGTTTTAGGACTGGTAGGTATGTTTGGTTGAGCTCTCGGGGGCCTCGGGTTGATTTCGGGTGGTTAACGGATCATTTTTGGACTTAGAAAAATTGCAGATTTCTGGTATTCTCCAGTTCTGGTTTCCTTCTTCGCCTTCGCGACGGGAGTCCCACGTTCACGAAGAGGAACTGGAGGTAGGTGGAATTTTATGCTTCGTGTTCACGATGTTGGTCCCGCGTTCGCGAAGCTCTGAGGTCATAAGTCTATGCGTTCGCGAAGAGGGTCCCACGTTCGCGTAGAAGAAGTTGGTCCACTGGGTCCCCAGACGTTTTGCCTACGCATTCACGATCTTGGTCCCGCATTCGCATAGGTTCGAGTCGAGTAAGCTTCGCGTTCGCGATAAATATTTTTAGGCTGAAGCGAATTTATGCTTCGCAAACACGAGGGTCCTTCCGCGTTCGCGAAGAAGGAAGTAGGCAGAATATAACATTTCAAAATTGAAGGTTAGCCATTTTTATCAAAACATGAGTCAGAGAGCTCGGATTTAGACGCGATTTTGAGGGATTTCCAAATACATCAATTGGGTAACGATTCTTCACTTGATTTTTGTTTTATCCCACTAATCTATCATTAATTCCTTCTTTTAGTTTCGAATTTGGGTTGAAAATTTTGGAAAAATGGAAAGAAGTTCTTCAACTAAGATTTTGGGTTTTGATTGAGATTTTATATCGGATTTGGATAATTTTGGTACAAGTTAACTCGTGGGTGAATGGGTATTCATATTTTGTGACTTTTACTCGATTTCGAGATGTGGGCCTTGGTCGACTTGTTAGGGCATTTTTGAATTTCTTATTAAAATCTTGATTTCATTAATTAGATTAGTCTACTCTAGTTGTATTTATGATATGTAATTGCTTTTCGCTAGATTTGGGCCATTCGAAATTGAATATTCGTGAAAAAGGCATTGTAACCGATTGATTGAGCTTGATTCAAGGTAAGTGGCTTGCCTAAACTTGTGTGGGGAACTCCCTTAGGATTTAGTACTGTTGTGATATGTGAGCGTCGTGTACGTGAAGTGACCAGTGCGTACACGAGCTATGTGTTGTAAACCTCTGATTTTCACTGAGTAATAACCTGTTTCATCTTAATTGAGTTATACTAGCATGTGTAATTATACTGTTTAGCCTAGAATAGCATGTCTACGCGTCTAAAATGCTTATCTGAACTTTGTGCAGCATGCTTAGTGGATTTTCTGCTTCTTCCTTGACTTCTACTTAGTCTAAATTGTAGGATTTCGTGTTATAACTGTTAATTCCATTGTTTGAGCTGTGTATTTACGTTGGGGCTATGGAACGATATTCTGGGAGATCCCCCTGTATTTTTACTTTGGGACTACAGGACGGTATCCCAGGAGATCCCCTTGCATATTTACTTTGGGACTACAGAACGCTATTCCGGTAAATCCCCCTACACATTTACTTTTAGGGCTACGAGACAGTATCTCGAGAGATCCCCTGTTGTTATTCCTTCGTCTGGCCTTATTTAATATATATATATATATATATATATATATATATATATATATATATATATATATATACCAGTAGAGCCTTGATCTGACCTCGTCACTACTCGACCGAGGTTAGTCTTGGCACTTACTGGGTACGGTTGTGGTGTACTCATGCTACTCTTCTGCACATATTTTCGTGTGCAGATCTAGGTACCTCCTACCAGCCTCGCTTTCAGTTGCATACTCGTTGGTGCTTCGGACACTTCCAGGTACATCTACCCGCGTCCGCAGACCTCGGAGTCCCCCTCCATCCCTTTTTGTGCTGTTCTTTCTTTACTTCTTCTAGTTACTGATGTATAGAAATAGTTAGACAAATTTGTAGAAGTTTATGACTTATGATGTTCTGGGTTTTGGGGAGATTCTCTGTGTATATTCGAGAGTGGTTATTCTACATGCTGAGCGACACTTATAACAGTTGTTAAATTGTTTGTTGTAGTTAACTGTTAAATTTATGCTTTCATTTTCATTATTCAGCAATGTTAGGGTTACCTAGTCGTAGAGACTAGGTGCCGTCACGACATCTCATGGAGGGAGGATTTGGGTCGAGATAAGTTCGTATCAGAGCTCTAGGTTCATAAGTGTCGTGAATCACAAGTATGTTTATTAGAGTCTCGCGGATCGGTGCGAAGACGTCTGTACTTATCTTTGGGAGGCTATAAAATTGTACTTATCTTTTGATTCCTTGTTGTGCAAAATTTTTGACTTCGAAATTCTAAACATCTGTCGTCTATTCTCTCACAGATGGTGAGGACACGTACGGCCAGATCAGATGGCCAGACACTCACCCCCCTTGCTAGAGCTGCCAGAGGTTGGGGCCAGGGTAGGACGTCCACGTGGTGCAGCTAGAGCACCTGCACGATCTGCCACAGAGGAGCCACCAGTTGCTCTAGTCGGAGCGCAGGCACCCGAGATGCCTACTACTGCACCAGCCGTTCAGGAAACGCTTGCACAGTTCATGAACATGTTCTGTACTCTAGCTAAAGCAGGGTTGATTCCCCTTGCTCCTGCAACATCTCAGGCCGGGGGAGGAGCACAGACTCCCGCCGCCCGTACCCCAGAGCAGCGGGTTCAGGTCGATCAGTTTCCAGAGGCTATATCTATGCCACATCTAGCCCAGTTCATCGCGAGGGTAGGGCGGCTGCTTTTGAGGAGGAGCAGCATAGGCTCGAGAGGTATAAGAAGTACCACCCTCCTACTTTCAGTGGTTTGACAACAGAGGATGCTCGGGGATTTCTTGAGGAGTGCTACCGTATCCTCTTTACTATGGGCATAGCAGAGTCGAGTGGGGTTTCTTTCACTGCGTTCCAGCTTAGAGGAGCAACCTAGCAGTGGTGGTGTGCTTATGAGTTGGACAGTCTGGCTGAGGCAGCTTCACTTATATGGACTCAGTTCTCGGATATGTTTTTGAGAGAGTATGTTCCCTAGAGCCTTAGAGATGCATGGCGCGCCGAGTTTGAGCAGTTACGCCAGGGTTGTATGACTATGTCAGAGTATGCAGTTTGTTTTAGTGATTTGGCTAGACATGCACAAGCTTTTGTTGCTACAGTTCAAGAGAGGGTCCGTTGGTTTATCGAGGGGCTCCATCCCAGCATCAGGACTAGCATGGCTCGAGAGTTGGAGATGGATATTTCGTACCAGCAGGTTGTGAGTATTGCTAGGAGAGTGGAGCGCATGCTTACTCGGAAGAAAGAGGAGAGGGACGCCAAGAGGTCTCGAGAGTCTGGCATGTACACTGGTACTCGTACCCCAACTACAGTTCATTTTGCCTTTCTAGCCGTCAGTGGTATTCCGGCTACTCCTAGGCCTCAGTAGCCTTATTATGCTCCGCCAGTATCTAGTGTGCCTCTTGCACGGGGTGCTTTCAGCGGTCAGTCCAGCAGACCAGGCCCGACCCATCCACAGTAGCCACGCCCTTTGAGAGCTTGTTTTGAGTGTGGCGACACTCTCCATATGGTGAGCGATTGCCCCAAATTAGGAGGGGTGCACCTCCAGAGACTTCTCGGGCACTGCGTGCTCCACCGGATCCTCAGGCTATGATCACAGCACCAGCTACCACTCCACCTGCTCAGCCATCTCGAGGTGGAAGTCTGGGAGGTAGAGGTCACCCTAGAGGGGGAGGCCAGGCCAGATAGTATGCTCTTTCTGCTCGTATAGAGGCAGTTGCTTCCGACTCTGTCATTACCGGTATTGTTCTTGTCTGTCATAGAGATGCGTCAGTTTTATTTGATCCCGGCTCCACTTATTCCAATGTGTCATCTTATTTTGCTCCGTATCTGGGCGTATCCCGTGATTTTATGAGTTGTCCTATTTATGTGTCTACATCCATGGGAGATTCTAATATTGTTGATCATGTATATCAGTTGTGTTTGGTTGTTATTAGTGGTTTTGAGACCAGAGCCGATTTATTATTTCTCAGTGTGGTAGATTTTGATATTATATTGGGCACGGACTTTTTGTTGCCCCA